TTAAAGGACAGAGGGTTCTGGAAAAGGCTTGAGGCCATACCTATCTCGGAGCCACCACCTTCCACCTGCAGAGCCCACAGCAGGATCTCACTGCAGGTGGCTGCTGCCACCATCTTGTCATGTTCACCCAAAGCCCCACCGGGCACCCGGGCTGTGAGCGCCAGTCGTTCGATGGGCCAGTCCAGGCGGGGACTGGAAAACACCAGCTGCCAGCCAGAGGCTTCCTTCAGCCTGCAGGGTTGAGGTGACATCAGCAACCCTCACTGCATGCCCTCCCTGTCAACAGGGCTGCGACCTCCTGCCACTCCCTCCCCAAGCACCTGTAGCAGACCAGAAACTGGGTATAGGCCACGGCGATCCAGTTATGGTGCCCACACACCAGGCGCACCATCCCCGGCTCCTCAGGTTGCCCTTGAGGGGAAGAGCGGGGATCAGAAGAGGGTCACAGGGGACCCACAGCTTCCCCAACCTCCCACAAGATAGAAATGTACCTGAGGGTGAGGGAGGGGCCTTCTCATCCAGCATTCGGCCCAGCAGCCCTGCATTCCCAAGGTTGGGGGGCATCGTGTTGCTCCGTCGGACAGGGGCCGGGCGCCCTCCTAGCTGCTGAGGCCCCAGTAGGCTGTGCCGGTTCCGCCGCTTCACCGGGAACGCTAGAGAACAAGAGGTGGAGTAACAGTCATGGTAATCGTGGCCGTCACATAGCAAGCACTTAAAATATGGCAGTGACTGATTTCCCCATGTGTGGGACATAGTCTCTGGGTGAAGATTTTAGGTGGGGCAGTGACGTGGCAAGAAATGACACTGAACCACACAGCAAATTACAGCCCTTTCAGTTCCCTTGAGCCTTTTGGTTTTTTTGGAGTTGCAGTTTTGCTCTTGTCGCCCAGGCTGGAGTGCAGCAGTGTAACCTCAGCTCACTGCGGCCTCCGAATCCCAGGTTCAAGTGATTCTCCTGCCTCCGTCTCCCAAGTAGCTGGGATTACAAGCACCTGCCATGACACGTGGCTAATCTTTTGTATTTTTGGGAGACACGGGGGTTTCACCATGTTGGCCAGGCTGGTCTCTTAACTCCTGACATCAGGTGATCCGCCCACCTCAGCCTCCCAAAGTGCTGGGATTACAGGTGTGAGTCACCGCACCTGGCCCTAATTTTCCCTTTTAACAAATAGAAGACTGCACCGTTGGCAAGCAATAGCATCTAGCCAGAGTTGTTTTTTGCTTTGTTTTGTTTTGAGATAGCATCTCGCTCTGTCACGCAGGCTGGGATGTAATTCGAGATCATAGCTTACTGTAGCCTTGACCTCCGGGCTCAAGCGATCCTCCCGAATAGCTGCAACCCCAGGTGCACCCCACCACACCTGAATTATTTTTTTATTTTTATTTTTATTTTTGAGACGGAGTCTCTCTCTGTTGCCCATGCTGGAGTGCAGTGGTGCGATCTCGGCTCACTGCAACCTCCACCTCCTTAGTTAAAGCAATTCTCGGCCTCAGGCTCCTGAGTAGCTGGGATTACAGGCACCCACCACCACGCCGGGCTAATTTTTGTGTTTTAGTAGAGATGGGTTTCACCATCGTGGCCAGACTGGTCTTAAACTCCTGACCTCGTAAATCCACCCACTTTGGCCTCCCAAAGTGCTGGGACCACAGGCGTATTTTTTATTCTTAGCAGAGAAAAGCTCTTGCTATGTTACCTGGGCTGGTTTTAAACTCCAGGTCTCAAGCGATCCACCTGCCTCAGCCTCCAAACTGCTGGGATTACAGGTGTGAGCCACTGCTCCAGGCCTCGCCAGAGTTTAACGACACTGCTCTGTTTGGATTTTATTTTCATGTTTACTTTGTATTTGTGATATAAAGCTTGTATTTAAAATGACTTTTTTTTTTTTTTTTTAAGCCGGGCATGGTGGTGGAGCTGAGGTGGGAGAATGGTTTGAACCTGAGAGGCAGAGGTTGCAGTGAGCCAAGATGGCACCACCGCACTCCAGTCTGGGCGACAGAGCCAGACCTTGTCTCAAATAAGTAAATAAATAAATAAAGTAATTAATTAATTAATTTAAAAAATGATTGTTTTTGGAAAACATGGATAAAACTAAGTTGGAAAAATACTACTACAGGTCTTTATATCTGGCAAATCTCATGAAGGTAGCAGGTACCGACAGCAGTTAGGGAAATAAAGCTGTAGATGAAAGGCCGGGCGCGGTGGCTCAAGCCTGTAATCCCAGCACTTTGGGAGGCCGAGGCAGGTGGATCATGAAGTCAAGAGATCGAGACCATCCTGGTCAACAAGGTGAAACCCCGTCTCTACTAAAAATACAAAAATTAGCTGGGCATGATGGTGCATGCCTGTAGTCCCAGCTACTCGGGAGGCTGAGGCCGGAGAATTGCTTGAACCCGGGAGGCGGAGGTTGCGGTGAGCCGAGATCGCGCCATTGCACTCCAGCCTGGGTAACGAGAGCGAAACTCCGTCTCAAAAAAAAAAAAAAAAAAAAAAGCTGTAGATGAAATTTCCCTACTCTTGTTCCTTCTACCAGTTAGAAAAGCCTAGTCCCAATAACCACTGGGGCCATAGCTTCCATGGCCAGTGGGATGGCTATCATGGGCATTATGGTCAATAACTTCCCATTAACATTTCTCCCCTCCGTGCAAACAATCCCAGGTCTTCCAAAGCCCCCCTACAAAGAAACCAAATCTGGCCTACAACTCCCATGGGGCTCCAGAGCATCCTTCTGAGCCTCAAGAGCTAGCTGGCCCACTGCCTCATGGGAAATGATATTTCCGACTTCCTTTCCAAGCATCAGCCCAAGCATCTGATAGGGAACTACACCTCCCATTGTGTCTCAGGGTTCACAACACAGGCACCCAAGAGTTGCGGCCTTATGAGAAATGTAGTCTTTAGTCCACCTCCACACCCCTCCCTTCCATTAGGAGTGCCCACCTGGTGGGGGCAGGTAACCATTGAAGAGGACGTTTCCACAAGAAGATCGATCCAACTCCTCTCGAAGCTGCAAGCGACGAACTGCAACGGGAGGACTTAAAGGCTGGGACTTAGGGGGATGCTAAGGCTACCCCATTTCCCCCTTTCTGTCTCTCTCTACACAGAATACCAGTACTCCCCTCAGTACCAATACAGACCCAGGACCATACCCAGTGCTCGCAGCTCCACCACAGCCCTCTTTCAGAAGAGAAGGGGAAGAGGGGCAGGCAGCATCACTACAGAGTTGGTTTCTATACAATGAGGATGATAGTTGGGGGCCCCCACTTACCCAGAGGAGTGAGCCCATAGAACTGGGCTTCATGGAGGAGGCTGGAACCGTGGACACCCCTGGGTAGTAGAATTGACTAGAGGTCAGGATCCAGGGGGTGGGGGTGAGCAGAGAATTCTGAGGGGGAAATGTTCAAAACTGCACAGAGAATGTAAAGGAGTAGAAAGTTTTGATGGAATCAAGATTCTAAGGAGTGATGATATGGGTGGAGGAAGGGGTGTGTGTGTGTGTGTGTGTGTGTGTGTGTGTAGGGAGAAATTGAAGGACTTAATTTTAACATGATCAAGGTTCTCATGAAGTTTTGCTTATTTGTTTTTTTAGAGATGGGGTCTCGCTCTGTTGCCTAGACTGGTCTCCAAATCCTGGGCTCAAGTAAGCCTCCCACCTCAGCCTCTCAAAGTGCTGGGATTACAGTCTTGAGCAACCCCACCGCGCTAAGCCTGTGATTAAGGTTCTGAATGAGAATTCTAAAAGAATGGAGCTCAAGTGGGCATTCGAGGAAATGAAAGAACTTCGCAGGGGGTGAAGACAGGGAAGGACTCCCTCCCCTTTTTCCATGCCAACCTGGGGTCCAACTCTTTGGTGCGCAGGAAGTTGAGGATGGGAGCAAAGACTGTAGGGTCCCTGTCGATGAAGATCTGCGGGAAAGGGGAGCAGAGGATGGATGGGGTAAAGGGCAGGACTGAGTAGGGGTCCTGCCCATTTTCCGACCCCAACCCCTCCCCCGTCCCATTTCAGTTCTTGTCCGACTTACTGCTCCAGTCTCATCTTTCAGCGTCGAGATGCGTCCGCTCAGAAGACTGCAGGGAAGGGACACCGAGCAGGCGTCACGGGCGGGGGTAGTGGATATTAGGTCTCCCAAGCCCTCTCCATCCCCCCTACCCTCGTCCCAAACTCGCTCTCCCGATCACCTGGAGAAGAAGGAGTCTGGGATCCAGGTGAGCGTCTGGCGAGAGGTACTGAATCTGGGCGGGGAAGTAGAGGAGCGGGTGAGGAATGCGGTCCCCTCCCGCAGAATCCAGGGTTTCCTCCCCTCCCTTCCCCCGGCGTTTTTCCAGGCTCTCGCGCTTCCAACAGGGGGCGGAGCAACCCTTGATGGACAAGGATTTTCCCCAGGAGAGGCGGGTAGGGTACTCCCACCCCGCTTCCCGCCCCCAAGGATGGGACCTCAGGAATCTCCCACACTCACCTCTTGCCTCCCACATTCAGATGAATCACTTCCCCGGGAGGCCCCCTAATCGGGACCCCCTCGGCTGCAGTAGTCGCCGCTGCCATGGCCCCCGGGCGAGCCGGCTGGCCCTCACCCACTTCCGGGTGTGCACCCGGACCCCGCCCCCACTGGCTGCTCATTGGGCTAGAGACTCCAGAGGTCACTGGCGATTGGACAGAACGCGTGCCCATCGAGGTTAACTTTTCCGCCTCCTTAAAGGGGTCCGCCTTTCCTGGACTGGACGGGGCGGACCCGGTGTCTCCTTTGGGGAAGTTTATTACGAAGCATAACAAAATATTCTCTGTCCCTCTAGGTTCTTGTTTTAGGTATGGCATCTAGGTGCATCGTCAAGGGGCGTGTGTTTAGACCCGAAATTAAGTACACATAAAGAGGTACATCTAGATGTTCTCCGCATCCACACTACCCCCGTGCCCCCTCCCCATCCCACATCCACTCCCACAGCCACCACAGCCCTCCTTTCAATCCTGCCAGACGCAGCCCAGAAAACCCAAACAAAGTAGCATAGACCGTCAAAGCCAAAGGGTTTATTATAGGTACATACAGTGTGCGCCCGTCACACCGCCCCACACTCCCGGGCCCCAGCGGCTTCTCCAGGCGGCCATGGGGGCTGCCCACAACCCAGTCCCCCCACTCCCCAGGGAGGTGCTCCAGCCAGAAGCATGCAGGGGGAGGGCTTCCCCTCGCCCCTCCCCTCATGAAGTGGCATTTACAACTGGAGGGGGGAGGAGAGAGGAACAGTTTTGAGCTTTGACGCTCCTCCCATTAAAAGCCTTCGCGGATGCGGGGCGGGGGAGGAGGAGGTCGACGTTTTGCAAAAATAAACTAAGTCAGGAATTAACCGCATGGCTCTGAGGCGGCAGAGTGCAGGGGCTAAGGCCCCTTAACTCCCCCCTCCCAGACAGAGATCAAGGCAGCATTGGAAGTGAGGTAAAGGCGGGGAGGGGGTGTCCCCTCCCTACCCCCTAGCACCCTGGATGGTCCAGGGGACCTCACCAGCGCCCCCATGCCCATCCCTAGGGCGGAAAGGGGGGCAGGATTTATCGCCCCCACCACCCCAGCTTCTTGGGGCAGGATCTGCAGATAGGGGCAGGGGGCTTGGCTCAACTGGCCCCCTGCCCACCCCCATCAAGCTCAGTTATTGCATAAAAATAAGGGAGCCCCAGCACCTGGGGTGGGGGTGGTGAGTGGGAAGGGGCCGAAATATGGCTATAGGGGCAGCAATCTCCCCACCAATTCTTGGGGTGCAGGAGAAGTCCCCTCCTTTCCAGTGCCCACCATGTCACGCGTCCTCAGTGTTGGAACTAGGGGCTCCCGCCCCTGTGGAAAAAAAAGTGTCTTTGTGCCCACAGTGCGGAAAAGAGGGGCGACGAGATGTGTCAGGCCATGGGAATGGGAAGTCACTTCCTGCGCCCACTGGCCCTGCGGTCTCCGCCTTCCCTCTTGGGATTGCCTTCGTCTGTGGATGAAGTAGTGGGTAGTGTCTGGCTCCAGCGGGCGATCTCTGCGTGTTCCGCCACTGAGACAGACACAGCCTCCAGCCAGCCATTCATCTCCTCCTGAGGGAAGAAACAGGGCACAGAGTCCGTATTTGGAAGAAAGAAGCTGGAATAATAGGTGAATCTCAGATCAGACTACCCTCTCTGAAATTCGGTTTTCTCATCCATTAAAAAGGGATGATGATGATGCAGTTACATGGCAATGTGTGTCAGGCTCCGTTCCAAACACTTTAGTGGATGAATTCCCTTAAACCTATGCAATAGGACTAAATATACTTCCTACTACACAGATAAATGGCATAAACCAACAATAATAATATGGGCCGGCACTACCAGAGCACTTGACATTTACCAGGCCCTGTGCTAAGTATCAATTTATCATGTAGCAATTAAATATGGAGCAATTTAATTCTCACAATAACCCTATTATAAGAAACTTTTTAATTTTTTTGAGACAGAGTCTTGCTTTGTCCCCAGGCTGGAGTGCAGTGGCTCGATCTTGGCTCACCGCAACCTCTGCCTCCCAGGCTCAAGGGATTCTCATGCCTCAGTCTCTCAAGTATCTGGGACTACAGGCACATGCCACCATGCCTGGCTACTTTTTGTATTTTTAGTAGATACGGGGTTAACCCTTTGCAATTCTGCACCTCTGGTCCTCTGCACTTGCAGTTCCCTCTACCTAGATCACCCACTCCCTCTTGTTTTTGAGACAGAATCTCACTCTGTCCCCCAGCCTGGAGTGCAGTAGCACAACCATGGCTCATTGTAGCCTTGGCCTCCCTGGTTCAGATGATCCTTCCACTCGGCCTCCCAAGTAGCTGGGACTACAGGCATGTGACACAACCCTTGGCTAATTTATTATTATTATTTGTAGAGATGGGATCTCTCTGGGTTGCCCAGGCTGGTCTTGAACTGGGCTCAGGCAGTCTTCTGCTTAGCCTCCCAAAGTGCTGGGATTACAGGCATGAACCAAGATGCACGACCTGAATCACCCCCTTTTTTTAGACCTCCGGCCCTATGAATCACTTTTTTTTTTTTTTTGAGACGGAGTTTCGCTCTTGTTACCCAGGCTGGAGTGCAATGGCGCGATCTCGGCTCACCACAACCTCCGCCTCCTGGGTTCAGGCAATTCTCCTGCCTCAGCCTCTTGAGTAGCTGGGATTACAGGCACGCGCCACCATGCCCAGCTAATTTTTTGTATTTTTAGTAGAGACGGGGTTTCACCATGTTGACCAGGATGGTCTCGATCTATTGACCTCGTGATGATCCACCCGCCTCGGCCTCCCAAAGTGCTGGGATTACAGGTTTGAGCCACCGCGCCCGGCCTTTTTTTTTTTTTTTTTTTTTTTTGAG